CCAAGGCACTCCCCCCGGTGCCCCTCCTACCCCTATCCCCCCACTTCTGTTCCTCCCCACTGTACTCTTAACCCCACCCCACCCCACCCTGGGGGTTCTCTTCCCCTCCCTCCCCCTCTCTCCTCAACTCCCTCACTCCCCACCAGGCCCTAAGTGCCTCCACAGTAGCAACTCACCCCGCCCACCCAACACCCCCGCACTGTTGGTCCCGCCCCTGCCCCACCACAGGCCCATCCCCGGGCCTCCACCTAGAGCTCCTCTACCGTCCACCCCCTCGGTCAGTCCAGACCCGTTCCCCTGACTTTCTGGAAGGCCTGTCCTCTGGTTTCATGGCTGTCTCCTCCCCGGGGACCCTGAGCCTGGAGAGCCTGGAGAGCTTAGACTCTGGCCCCGCCGGCCAACTGGATGAGGAGCAGTGGCAGCGGCCCTGTGACTTCCGTGAGTCCCTTTCCCCTTCTCCTTGATGGTCCTGTCTTTAAGGATGGAGGCTGGAGACCTTCCTCGAGGGTCCCTGGTTGGGGTCTGGGCAAATGGAAGACAGGAACATCAGTTCCCTGAGGTGCCCAAGGCCAGGAGCAGAGAGAGGCAGGGGCTGCAGTGGACATTAGCCCCTTGGTCTCCTGAGGTCTCCTGCTTCTGTTTTGTGGAGAGGGTCAGCCCACCTGACCTGACATGAGCAGGGGCCAGCATGCCTGCCACGGGGGACCCTGGAGCCCAGCTCAAGGTTGGCACTCCTGCAGTCCTGCCTCTCTGTCACACAAGTGGGTGCGCCATGAGTGTGGTGGGTCTGAGCTGGGCAGACTCTGCGTAGTCCCTCATTCTGGGGCCCGTCTGTGGCTCAAAGTGGAAGTTGACTGTCGTTTTTTCCCTCTGTCTGTGCATGTCCTGTGTCTGGTGTGGGTCCCCCTGGTGGCTGCCCCAGTACTGGATCTGGAGGTTGAGCACAGCTTGGACGTGACCTTGGTGGGCTCCAGTGAGCTGTCGTCCCCCTCTTCACCCTGGCCAGACAGAGGTAAGGACTCATCATTTAAGATGCTGACCCCAGGCCTAGGTAACATCTAGAGTTCCAGTCTTCTAGAATATTCACCCATCATTCAGACACCTCAGGGAAGGGAAGAGGTTCCCATCCAGAGCCTTCCCCGAGGTTGGGATATCTATTATGGGGAAGGTGTGATGGCAAGGGTCCTTAGACTCCTGAGACTTCAGATAAATTCATGATAACCCCTTCTTGGCTATATTTAAATTAGAGGATAGGAAGAAGAAGGAGGGAGCTACCTCTTATCCTCTTTTCCAGATCTTATCGCATACGAAGTCATGGTTAACCAGCGAAACATAGAAGGTGAGCTCGTGCATGTTCGCCAGGGACCAGGCCAAAGGAAGCAGCAGGTTCAAACAGCTTGCCCCAGCACACACCATTGTCCTACAAGGGGGCAGTGGCTCCTGTGGGCTCCTCCCACACTAGGCGCTGGCAGTTTCATATAACAAACAAACTTCGGTGTTCTTTTAGTGAATTTAGAGCTGTGCAATGATTACCACAACTGCATTCTAGATCACTTTTTACCACCCCATGAAGGGAACTCGAACCCATTACCGCCACTTCATGTTCTACCCTACCTTCCCTCTTTCAACTCTCAGCAACACTAATCTACCTGCTTCTCTATGAATTTGCCAGATGTGGATCTGTTGTATTTACTTCCATGTGAATTTCAGGATTAGCTTGTCAACTCCTGCAGAGAAGCCAAGTGGGATTTTGAGAGAGACTTCTGTAGAGCCATCGGAGAGTCTTGCTATTCAAAAATATCAATAGCCAGTCCATGGCCTGGTGGTTGAGGCAGCTGAATACCCCACAAAGCCAATAGTGCACTTTGAGTCCCAGACCCAGAGGCTTGAAAAGGCATGCAGAGCATGTGTATGTGTGTGTGTGTGTGTGCCCCAAATCCCAACAGCAGGGAGAAATGGAGGAGAAAGGATTGTGGTGTGACATCTCCCATGGGGGTGCTTTCACATTTTTCATCTCTCTCTCTGTGGTGAGTGCATGTGCCTTCTGGCAAAAGTTAAAAATTAAAAAATATCAAATCTGCTGGTTCATGAACATGGGATGTCTTCCGATTTTGTTAGACCTTCAGTTTCTCTCAACTGTGTTTTGCAGTTCTCAGCATCCAGACCTTGTGCTTTCTTCACTAATTTCATCCTGTCTTTTGCTCTGTTCCATGGTGCCATAAAACCCATCCCGTTTTGGGTGTTCACCGCAGACATCTGCCTCTGCTGTGGGAGTCTCCAGGTCCATACACAGCACCCTCTGTTCGAGGGAGGAATGTGTGCCCCATGTAAGGTAAGCAGGGAATCAAGGGTTGAGCTCATCATGGCTGGAGCAGAGACAACGCAGTGTCACCTCACTTTGCTCCTGGCCAGGACAAGTTCCTGGACACCCTCTTCCTGTATGATGAGGACGGGTACCAGTCCTATTGCTCTATCTGCTGCTCAGGAGACACCTTGCTCATCTGTGAGAACCCTGACTGCACCCGGTGAGTGAGGGACCCTAGGAGTAGCCAGGGATGGGGGTGAAGGAGCCGCTGCCATGAGCCTTGACAACGTCTGTCTTCCTTAGCTACTTGTTCTGGAGTGTGGGGGAATTTTCCTCCTAGGAAATTTGTTTTCTCTAAATTTTCTTCCATTTCCATCTCAAATATTTCATTTGGTTCAGAGCCTTGACACAAGGGAGGTGAGATGTCCAAAGATTTGCAATTGTGATTTTTCTGTTCAGTAGTTTTACAAGACATACCTGTTCCCTGATCATTGCAGAGGGGAATGATGAAAACCCCACACCCTAGGGCTGCCCGTCATGACTAGGGGATGGATAGGAGCACATTCGTCCCTTGATCTTTACCCACCAACCTGAACTCTAACAATGACCACCTGCCCTCAGTGTTTCTGAGCCAACCTTGTATTTACAGCACTCCCTCGCCCTCACCTCAGATTCTACCTCCCAGCTGGCCATTCCTGCATTGGGTTTTGGAGTCCTCACACTGTTGCTGCCGGCTCTCAAGTTTAGGGCAGACAGGTGGCTTAGGGGACTCATTGGAATCTGGCATTGCCCTGAAACTCACCTCACTGTCTTTGGCAGCAGACTCGACTGTTGCTCTGGGTATCTAGATGGACAGGCTCCCCCTGCTGCCATCCATGGCCTGTCTTCCCCTGGCACTGCTGAAATGGGCGCTTTTTGGTCTTTGGTGCAAAAGGCCAGGTCGGTCTGTGCTTTGCCAGCCAGCAGAGGGCTCCAGTGGTGAAGGAGCATCATTTCAGTCACTGTGGTTTCCTGTGTAACTCCAGATGTTACTGTTTCGAGTGTGTGGATACCCTGGTCAGCCCTGGCACCTCAGAGAAAGTTCACGCCATGAGCAACTGGGTGTGCTTCCTGTGCTTGCCCTTCCCCAGCAGCGGGCTACTGCGGAGGAGGAGGAAGTGGCGGGGCCAGCTGAAGGCCTTCTACGACCGTGAGGCGGTAAGGAGCACTCCCGTGGCAACCGCACCCACCTGCAGTGGGCTGGAACCAGGCCATTTTTCCTGGTTACCACCTGCAAACTGCCCATCGCTCTGATATGCCATGAAGGTAAAGGTTTCGGAGCAAATGTTCTTTCAGTGCTCCTCCTTGCTAGCAGATCCCACTAAATGATCTGTTTTAAACATGTCTGCGCATGGTGGTGTCGTTTCTAATGGGCCTGGGAATAAGGTACCCATCCCAGGTAACAGCAGAGCCCAGGAGAGAATAGCTAGACACTCTTCTAGGTCTGACACATGAAAGAAAGGCCTGGTGTCCTTGGTCCAGCCAGGGCAGCTGGCCAGGCTTGGGGGTCAAGACCTGAAGCCCATGAGTCAGGAAGGGCTTGGAAGCTTGTGGTAGTTAAACTATGTCTCCCAGAAAGACACATTTAAGTCCTAAACCTGTGCCTGTGAATGTGCACTAATTTGGAAATAGGGTGTTTGCTGGCATAATTTAGTTAAGGATCTCAACACAGGATTAATCTGGGTTCAGAGTGGGCCCTAATGCAATGACTGTGGTCCTTACCAAAGAAAGGAGAGAGAGATTTGGGGGATAAAGACACAAGGAAGACAACCAGATGGTGGCGGGGGCAGAGGTGGGAGCCAAGGATCCCCCAGGGGCCTGTGCCCTCAGAAGTGGCGAGGAAAGCCTCGGGACTGGCCTCTTCTGGAGTCTTCCGAGAGCTACCCCTGCCAGCCTCCTGCACTGTGAGAGAATACATTTCTACTCTTTTCAGCCCCCTAGTTTGTTTTATGGCAGCCCTTCAAACTCCAACAGGTCATGCCGGGCAGCCTTGTGAGGCAGCTGGCAACAGCTAGGGACCTAGAGACCCGTGTCCTGCCCTCAAGCCACGCTCTTCAGGCTGAGCCATGTAGCCTCCTCTTGCCCAGCAAGATCTGACCTGACCTAAGCAGCAAGGGCCGATGGGGTGGTGTCTGCGGAGGACAGTGCCCTGGAAGCTGGGTCCCATTGAGGTGGTGGTGTGGGGTAACTGGCACTCTTGGGTGCAAGCGTGTGCGCCTGCCCACTCCGTCCCTCTAGCTGATGAGGTTGGGGGTGTCGGCAGGCCAGGGAGCTGGTGAGCTGACTGAACCAGCCTCGCCCACCCTGGGACTTACCTCTCCCAGGGCCAGCACTGGCCTTGGGTTCTCTGAGGTTCTAGAAGCTGCCTGGTGAGCCTGGACACATGGTGGCAGGCCCATGACATCCAACACATCGCCTTGACACCAGTTTGGGGTGACAGCTGTTTGTAGGCTGGATGGTGCTTTTCTGAGCAAAGGTGAGCATGCATTTTACAGACCCCTCTTCCAGGTCTGTGTAAAGGCAGGGCAGGGACTTTCACTCTCGAAGGCCGCCACAGGGATTTCACTTCAGAAGGAAGTTCAGTGACACCGAAGTGACTTACAGCAATGACGAGGGACAAGGCTTCCACACTCTGGTTTCAGCTCTGTTCTTGCCTCAGGTCATCTCCACATCCTCTCTTGTTACAGGGTCCATGGCAGCCGCCAGAGTGGCAGCTGCCAACCAAGAACC